ATGGGTTCAGGGTGTGTTAAGGGTTACGAGTTCAGGGTCAGAGGTGGGCTCTGGGTGAGTTAAGGGTTACGAGTTCAGGGTCAGAGGTGGGCTCAGGGTGAGTTAAGGGTTACGAGTTCAGGGTCAGAGGTGGGCTCAGGGTCAGGGATGGGTTTAAGGTGAGAGTTAAGAGAGAAGAGTTCAGTGCTAGAGAAGGGTGAGAGTTAAGGGATCTGTGTAGAGTTCTAGAGTTTAGTTTAGGATGAGAGCTGAGGGTGGGTGCTGTGAGTTCAGGTTTAGGGCAGGGGGTTTATTGGTTTGAGGTTAAAGTTAGGTTTTGATAGGAATAGAAATTGTTTTACAGGTTAGTGTCAGAGATTGAGGTAAAAGGGCAGTGTTCATGTTAGAGGGTAGAGGTCAGAGTTCAGGTTAAGGATTAGGGTAGACACTGGGTAAGGGTAAAGGGTTAATCAATACGGTAACACAAGCTCTATGAGGCTTTGACCTCATCAAGCAGCGACCAGCACACTGAGGAATTGTGGGAATTGCTGTTCACTGTGACTGTCTGTGCAGCCCCATGGTGTTGCCACCCTCAGAGAGAGACAGCAGCACAGCCTCTCTGACATGGTGTTCAGGTAAGGGTTCAGCTCTACATTCACACTGACACACAAACAGAGACACAGAGAAACAGAGACAGAGAGACACACACACAGAGACAGACAGGGACACAGTGAGAGACAGACAATGAGAGACAGCCAGGGATACACATACATAGGGATACAGAGATAGACAGATTCTGTGAAATTTGAGACAGGCAAGAAGAGACAGTCAGGGACACACATACAGAGAGAGACAGACAGGGACACTCTCATGAAGACACAGCTCAGACACACATCATGAGATGATCAAATTCCAGTACAGGATTCAAGATTAAGAGACGTTCTGTTCTGTATAAACCTAATTATTTCTAATCAATTTCATTCTGCTGCTGCTTATCAATGTATTTTCCCCCACAAGCCACTGCCAGGAGAGGTCCAGCAGTGAAGACGAGGATTCTGGGAGTTCCACACCCCCACAGCGAGGTGCAGGGAGCAGGTGAGTGAGCAGTGCCACCTGGAGACCACTCCGGGTACTGCAGGCATAATGACTCGGAGGTTCAGTCTATCTGCCCTGTCCGGTGAGACAGCATTAACCCTGCCTCCCTCTATCACCCCCCGTCTCTGTCTCCAGGAGCAACACCAGTTCTGAGTTAGACACACCTTCTCCTTCGCTGCCCATCAGAAACGGTGAGTGAGATGGACTCTCAGGCTCTATGGCCACTCAGCTGGACAGCCAGGCAGAGAGGCAGGCAGTCAGAAAGAGACAGGGTCAGGTAGAGAGAGACAGGCAGTCAGGAAGAGACACACTCAGACAGAGAGCGACGGGGTCAGTCAGGAAGACAGGCAGTCCGGAAGAGACAGTGTCAGACAGAGAGACAGGTAGTCAGAAAGAGACAGGGTCAGGCGGAGAGAGACAGATAGTCAGAAAGAGACAGGGTCAGGCGGAGAGAGACAGGCAGTCAGAAAGAGACACACTCAGACAGAGAGCGACGGGGTCAGTCAGGAAGACAGGCAGTCTGGAAGAGACAGTGTCAGACAGAGAGACAGGTAGTCAGAAAGAGACAGGGTCAGGCGGAGAGAGACAGTCAGAAAGAGACGGGGTCAGGTGGAGAGACAGGCAGTCAGGAAGAGACACACTCAGACAGAGAGAGAGACAGGCAAAACAGACACAGAGAGAGTGACAGGGTGAGTCAGGGAGTCAGACAGCCAGACTCTGGGTCCTGCTGTGCAGCACTTAACAGTTCTCTCTCTCTGTTCCCCTGTCCTCTCTCCTCTCTCTCTCTCTGTTCCCCTGTCCTCTCTCCTCTCTCTCTCTCTGTTCCCCTGTCCTCTCTCCTCTCTCCCTGTTCTCCTCTCT